TACCTGTTATTTTAACATTACTGTCATACGCGCTGAAACTTTGTATTCGGGCAGTCGGAGGAACACTTGATATCTTTTTCCACGTTGCGCACAGCGGACATATAAAAATTTCGGTCACCAATCAGACACAAGGAATATATTGTGTAATTCGTTGAAATACAACAATTAACAGAGACGAGGAAAACTGTACTTACACGAAATTATGCTAATTTGTACTGATAAAGGTTTTAAGTGCTTTTATGAACTTCTTTTTAAAAAGGGCTCAGGTCTTCTTTTACCAGAACATAACAGGTCGACACCCATCCTAAAGAGACAGGATGATTCGTTGTATTTAAGTCACAGCTAGTGTAATTTATGATAAAGTAAATACTTAAGCATGGACTCAGCATATAAATTATTTGTGCGTGGTAGCCACATACCTTCACCATTCTTTCCTTTCCGGGAAAAAATGTAGTCAGAGTGATAGGAGTTATGATCCACCAAGAGAACACTGTAAGTAAACATCCCATGCAGCAAACAGAACCTGAGGGTAACTTGAAAAAGTGTATTGTGATCGTCCAGATCAGTGTAGTCCGGAGAAGGATTGTTGTCGGTAGTGGTGACTGACGTTTCATCATCAGTGTCAAGTGAATAGTTGTTGTCAGTCGAATGTTCTAAGTCCGGTTAGTATAAACTGATTGGTCAGTTTTGCCCTGGTGTTTTTGGCTGCAAAACTCAAGTGGTGTAAGTCGGTAGTGATTGATCGGTCTCGATCCGTCTGTAAAGTTAGGTCGTTCTGTTCGTTTTTAATGTGAATTTCGTAAATCAGTCGTTTGTATGGTGCTTCTGGTGGTCGACACTTGTTGAGGGAGTCTTCTAAGTTTGTAAACCAGATCAGTCGTTGACAATAATTGGTGCTGTTGGCTAGGCATTGCGTAAAGTCCCAGTCAATATTGTGGTTCGTAAGTCCATGATGTTCAGCGATGTGATTGTTGACATCACCTTTCCTCGTCGCTCGCTTGTGCTCAGTCAGTCTTGTTGTGAGGTTTCTGCCAGTCTCTTCGATGTAGGATGCGTGGCAGTCATTTTAATTGACTTTACAAACCGTTCGTTATCTCTTCCTCTGTTTGTCGTTGTCTCTTTACAATCACGGTACTGTTTGTAGTGTTTAACTTTGTACTGAAAGTAAGCAAAAGTTCCGTAAGTCCATTATTTCAGTAGTGGTACAGGGTCCATAGAACGTGGGATTGCAGTATCATTACATTCTAGTGCCATTTTAAGTGAAATACTTGTAAAATTAATTTCACATCAAATGACGCTAGTTTTTAGTTGTCAGGTATTTGTACAGTCTTGGTGGCGTTAATAAAGTCCTCGGTGAATTGCAGCCGTCTGGATTTGTCGGTCAGCGGCTATGATATTGTCGTCAGATACTTGGATAGTTGGTGTGTAGGAGAACCACAGAAAAAAACAAAAGATCTCATCGGGAAACCAGGTTTGTGTAGTTTCGGCAGAACGTAAAGCTTCGGTGGCTGTGTTGCTGAGCACCTTAGTCGAGGGTTAGGATAGGGTTAACTGACTACTGAAAAAGTTTAACTGAGAACTGACAAATCGTTGAAAATCTGAGTGACAACTAACATTGGTGGTGGGCTTCTACTGACATCTGACAAAAGACCGAATCGCCTAAATATCCTAAAAGCTGGCTGTAAAGTAAGGACAGTTGATTTATTTTGTCCAATAAAAGTACGTTTTTTTATTAACTATCAGCAGGAGTACACCAGAGTGTCATATCTCGTTTAGAATTACCGCATGGACCATCCATATCAAGGTCATATGTTACATATCGGTTATACCGTTTCTGAAGTGAAAAAACGGCACAGGTTAAGGGAAACTACAGCAACAAACGGCCCCGAAGGAACTGTGTTTAATAAAACTCAAGTCTCACTTAAGCTTCTCGAAGAAGGAATGTACCGCCTGCACAACAGTATGGCTTCAATTAACAATGATTATCTTGAAGATGTATTGTGCTCATTATTCACAACAGTTGTGAACATACGCGCAGTTTCCCATTTTAAGCATGAGACCATCACCACATTGCAGTATTCCCAAGACTTTGGAATGATTACCAAGGAGTCGGTGAAGAGAGTAACAAAATGGGCAGCCAATTATTTTACTCATGAAAAATCCTACTATCCTGTCCCTCTGACCAGCAAGAAGTTCGTAAATTTTACCTCTATGCGACGTCTACCTTCAGAAGGGATCAACACCGAGACTGAATGTGCTATGAAAGAATTTGTGGAGAAGTATCGTTCGTTGAGGCGAAGGACGGTTCAGGAAGAAACAACCAAAGACAAGGCAGGGGCTATACCACTGGCCGTCTACACGAAGCAACAAGATTCAATCAAAGTGGACTTGTTGGCGGAACTAGGGAACGATTTTAACTCTGGAGATCAACCAGTAGGGCTCAGTAGCGACAAAGGAGGGTTCAAGCTACTTCGGAAGGTGGGAACGTGACAGATGTCACATTTGTTGAGGTGGCAGTTGCTCAGGTGCGAACACGTGCAGACCAATATGACACGGACTCAGAAAACTATTTTTCTGACCGAGAGGATGAAGACATTTATCCAATTACGGTTTCTGGATCCGGGCGGCCAATTCGCGTTCATTTTCGCTTGGATTTCTAAGGTACGCTTACAGTAGATGTCTCTAACAGCCTAATTGAAAAGTGGACAAAAAAACATTGCTTTTGGATCATATCATCGAAACCAATCGCAATTCACGCATTGTAAAACAAAACTTAAAACCAAAATATTGTGTTAGAGGACTCTTTTCACGTTTGTTGTCTTTCTGACGATCTTCTCTCCAACATTTTGACCGGCTAAACGGTTGAAAGGGAATGTTTCAATGTTGCACACGGGCAAACAGAAGTTTATGTGCAGAAGAGTTGTACTTACTTAAACAACCTGAAAGTCACTGAGAAGATCTTGGAATTATTTCGTTCCAGAATTGAGAAAAAGGAGTTCTTGTTGTATCAATTTTTGACTTAGTTTTAGATGGAGTTTACGCTGTAGGTTCCTTTTTAGCCAAAAATATGCTCGGGAAGTGATGATTAACTCGCCAAGTTAATAATAAGCAAATTAAAGATATTTTAGTTATAGAAGAATGTATTACCCTAAAAACATTTTATTGGTGAACGCGGTAACTGAAAAAATGACTGCCGGTGAAACAATGAGATCGAGATAGTCTTTTGCGAATTTTTTTAGAGACTGAAGATATCAACACGAATTTTGATTGACTACCGATAGTTATATTAAATATGATTCCTATTTGTTACCTTTCAATCAAAATCAAGCCAGACTTTCAATTAAAGTATCCAGCAAATCAAACATCAGAAGAAAAAGGTCTGATGATGAAAGAAATCCGACTGGCTCTCACGAAATCGTAACAAGCTTGTTTTTAATTGTTTTGTTTTGTTTTTTGTTTTTTTAATTTCATGAACTGACAAGTTTTTAGTAATGTTCCTTCTTGCACTAACCACCACGTGCAATTCAAAAAATGATAAGGGAATTACCAGAACTGACAAAAAAATGCGAAATCTTACCTTACAGTTCAGAGGTTTCGCGCTTAACCAGAATCCGTACGAGTGAAACATTCTCTTTGGAAAACCTTCCATTGCAGCTTTCTTTTTTATGCCCATTCCAGTTCATAAAACAGAGCTGAACATTTTTGTTCCAGGTTTAATCACCAGAAACTGACTTACGAAGATCAGGTTACAAATAATAATTTATCGTGTATACGTTACGGTCACATCTCAACTTTAATTACTTGTCCTCTACAAAGAAACTACCGAACTGTATTTTAAACAAGCCCCTAAATTGAAAAAGGAATCCTTCGATATTTGAAAGTTTTTTTTCATCCCATACCCCTCTGGGTCCCAGAGTCATCAAAGCTTTATATGTCTGATCGCCGTTTTTTAACGATTCCTGACTTGTTTCCTTGAAATCTTGAGATTCTCGTGTATTGAAAGTTTCAAGGATTTATTATTGTAAGTTCATCCATTATCCCGTTTTCGTCTGGTTTGTTTCGTCCCTGTTCTTTCTTGTGAAGCAGTCGTGTCACTTCCTGTTGATGTCCAGTACAGGCACGTTCAGTCGTCTTGTTGTTGCAAAAGAGAACTTGTTGCTACGCAACAAAGAACAGAGGCGAATTGAACCGGAGGACAACTGAGTAAGAAACATCTCTTCCCGTCCCTTATACAATACTGAAACCATTTTTCCAAGTACCTGATTACAATACTAAAATCGCTGAACCACAGGTCCAGGCGTAAACCACGATCCACCGACAACGCCAAGACTGTACAGATACCTGTACAGACTACAAACTAGTGTCATTTAATGTGGAATCTCTTTTCACAAGTATTCCACTTCAACTGGCACTAGAATGTACTGAGACCGCAATACCACGATTTACCGAAGCTCGCAGTATCCTCGAGCTTTACTCTTGGAAAACTGTTCGCATCTCGGAACAGATAATGTCTGCCAACAAAAACCTTTGCGTATTTTCGCGCTAAATGACGGCTATTGTTTATTCAGTGCACCAAAGCAGTGTATTTCTTAATGGATGTTATATAATTTTGGAAGCTTTAAGAAAAAAAAAATCACGTTTTTAGCTCCAAAAACAATTGCACAACCAAAATCAGGATAAATACAAAAATAGCGTAATTACGGTACGATACTTCGCTTGCAGAACGGTAAAACAATTTTAAAAAGGAACAATTTTCTGCGATATAGTTCAATTATTTCTGCAATGATGAGTTCATTTATATAAAAAATCAGTGGGCTGGATATTTATTCCTTTTTGGGGATATAAGTATTTATTTCCTTCTTTGTATCTCTCAACAAGACGATAAGATCTTTCTTTAACAGCATAGTTTGTAAATTCTACAAGACGAAAGATTCTATGATTATATGATTGTGACTAAAATCTTATGACTTTAGAAAACTGAAAGTGACACAACTGAAGTTAGTTTTACGTTGTGAACTAAAATATCACTCGGGTTATGAACATAGTCTTTCTACATAAGCATGCTTTGACTCTAGTTCACTTCAGAACTGCCACTAATTTCATCCTCTGTGATGTTAATATATATCCTCTGAAATTGATGAATCAAAGAGAAGAAGATATTTCAGGTTAGATGCACGAGTGAAGCTTAGTAATAATAATAATAACAGCACATAGTAAAAACAATAGTAACAAGGCGGCAAATGAAAAAGAGGTATAAGAAAACTCATGAGATACTTCTAATTAGGCAAGTAGTGATACACCGTTTGAAAAATTCAGTAATTTGACCTATCTTTTATCTGAGTAATGCTTCTACTTATGTTATCTTCCTTTTGAGAGCAATTTGGTTATGAATATAATATACTTCGCCATTTGTACAATATAGAGTGTTTCAAAATTTGTCGCTGCTTCGTTGGTCTCATATGACTCTTCTCTAAATTATTGCAAGTCTACTCATTTCAACACTTAAAGATCTTTTTATGTAATCTTATCGAATCAAATTAATTTAGTACTTAACTGATAAAAATCGGAAAGAATGGAAGGAAGAGCTTAGGAACTGTCTAAATTTAATTTCACTCACCTTTACTTCTCGCAAGAAGTATGCCAGCTGATCTACGATGTCAGCAAACGAAGGTCTCATCAAGGGATCCTCGTTCCAACAAGATCTCATCAGCGTATATCTACAAATACGTTACAGCATTCATTAATTTTTTGCAGCTATTTATTCATTTAACTCAATCAATCTCAACACAGTGAAACTGCAGAGCATCTAACAGCGACATGTAAACTAGATGGAATTCCAAATCTAAGAAGACACAAACCCTTTACTAATTCCTCTCCCGGGTAAAATACTTCTAACTACTTGAATAATGTCGAAATTGGTAACTGATAGAATAAATGTAAACGTATAAAAACACATGCTTGAAAATGATCGAGAAGCTCACAGTTCTTCCGAGCATTGATGAGGACGTGACATCCGGTAGCCCGTAGAAAGCCGACTTACCAAGGCAAGTGGTGTTGGGATGTCAGGGTATGGTGAGTCACCTGATAAGCAAAATAACTAATAAGATAGTTTGCTTAATAAAAGTAACTTGACCTTAACTGATTATGGAGTTTTAAGCTGTCTCTCCCTCTGACACATCTGTTTACATATGGCCAGTAAGCTCAAAATTGCAAAGGAAACCTGATAATGTTGTTCCTAAAATATTTAAACTTATTAAATTAATCCCTTTTGATCCATTGATTTATGGAATGACATGCTATTTAATTAATCTCCAAAAAATTGCCTAATTTTTCCCCCTTCAAAAAACCTCTCCCAGGCTATAAAACAAAGTTTTTTGGAATTCTTCAACCGATGTGAATTTGTACGCGTCATCCCATCCCATTTCCCATCATCAGCACTCACTTTTATATTGGCATTTCTATTTCATCGAATATTTAGTGACTTACCATAAGTTGCCATTTCCCAAAGTAGTATGCCAAACGACCACCTACAAACGGGCGAAAAAAACAAAGCAAAACAAAACAAAAAACACGTTGATAGCTAAAAAGTAACGATTCATGACTTACCTTTGGTTAAGTATGTACTTGCTGACGTTTGATTGACATGCGAACGAATTTGTCTTAAATTAATATTCTGATTACAAGTTGAAGAGGTTCGCGTGGCATTATGGAACTTTCGGATTATTCAAACGTTTCGCGGGAAGATTAAGTCATTCAAGGTTTGTCAGTCTTGATTGCTTTCTTTTTTTGTATTTGTTGTAATTTTGGTTTACCAAATCCCTGCTTAACATCGTTACAATTATTAATTTTCTTCGTTATTAGAAGTGAAACCAGGTTAGATTACCCTTTCCTCGGAGTATTGTGCTGCTGCATTAGAAGAGGATTACATTTTCACGCATTTTTGGCCACATCTAAAAAGTGGCTATTTAGCGGTTTTCATTTATTAGAACCCTTTGTTTTAGGGTACACATGTTAAGAAAATAGAGAAAGGTTTTTGGTCTTATCACGAGAGTAGGACAAAGAAAAAATTCCCGGTGGGTCGTAACCCAGGGCTGAGGTTCGATTCCTCATGGGGATAAGAATTTTTTTACCGAGCTTAAAACTTGCCGTCCTTCCTATTCTATTTGAAAAATGCACAGCTGAAAACAAACAAACAAACAATGACCAACAACAACCACTAACAATTATAGTTGAAAGTGTCTGAGAGTCATTAATTCTCATGCGTTGGCACCGAACACTACTTATTTTTGACGATGGCTTTTCAGACAAAGCGATTAAACCTGACTTGGAAAAATCCTACAACGGTTTTGTTCCAAGATACTCTACGTTTGCATCGGGGGTATAACAACTTTTTATACTACTTTTCGTGTCACTTACACATCGCTCTTGGATGTATAAACTCGATCTCGCAGAGATTCTAAAGACGACCATCTCCATGGAACTTTACCCTGTGAAAATGGGAGTTGTGCATGATCTTGTAACATTAACTTGTATACACTGGAATGAACAAGCCAACAAGTCACTACGCCAACCTGAGGATTTTCTATCTGTTTGGTTGAATGTTAGTTACCATATCATAAATAAGGTAATCCAAATAAATTGTGGCAGGATATATATGGGGCCATTTGTCTGTCTGGTTTAGAATGAAAGAATTTAATACAGTCAGTATTAGTAAAAGGAGCTGGAAAAGTAACAATTAATGATACAATACTTACACATGAGGTTTTGATGTATAATCCATCCTCTGTGATTTCCCTTGCTAATCCAAAGTCTCCGACTTTTGCCACCATGTTTGGATCGATCAAAACATTTCTCGCGGCAAGGTCGCGGTGAATGCACTAAAAAAAAAGTTGCCTTATCGATTCCCTAACGTGTATATATTACCGGAAGGCAAATAACTGAGTTAACCTTTCATCAAGAGCTTCGCTAGGAAAAGATCTGGCTAACCTTCTGCTCTTCTAAATGTTTCATTCCAAGGGCCACCTGTAGAGCAATTTTGAGCAGCTGTCGGTCATTCAGCTTACAGTGCACATTCGCATATTTGTTACTTCCGTCACCCTTGCACCTCAAAAAGCTTTCAAGGCTACCACCATGGACCAATTCGGTGACGACAAGAATTGTCTCTGAGGAAAGAAAAGTTGGCTATCAGGAGCAAATTTGCCGCTGCAAATTGATGGGAACTCGACGACGAGAGAAAGTAGCCTCAAACCAACTACCAGCATGCACGTTAGGGAGTACTGCGGGTTGGCCGCAACAGTTTTGCAAATATTACCAGGATATCCTTTTCACCGTTCGCCTCCTCGATAATTTTCACAGGGACGAACAACTCCATGGAGATGTTCGTCTTTAGAATCTCTGCGAGATCGAGTTTTCTTGCATACTAATTACCACGCCCTGTAAACTTCATTCCATGAAGAAACACATATTTTTTTTCGTAGATTAGTAAGAATGTTATCTCCTCACCTCCTTGAACCCATGTTCCAATTAGGTTGACAATGTTGGGATGTCGTCCAGCCTGTTTCAACGTTCTTATCTCATTCAGTAACGCGGCTTTCGCAAGTGTGCATGCATTACCTAAAATAAAATGATAGACAAATGTGATAATTATTCATAAGTTGGTTACGTTGTGTTGTACGTAGAAAGCAAAGAAAACGAAGAATACTGAGAATACTCTGCCAATCTAAACACCTTGCTACAGATATTACGTTAAAGAATTCAGATTGTAATTGGGTAACATACAATTGTCCAAAAATACGTATAATCGCATTATATTCGTTATCCGCCCACACTGCCGAGAAAATAATAACTGAGAAAATAATTAAGCCAATAGGATAAGACCCTTATGTATACCTTTCAACTTCTTTACTGCAACATCAGTAGTGCTGCCATTCCTTTCACCATAGAGACCTTTGTAAACGATTCCATATTCTCCTTCACCTAGTACCTCATCGAGTACTTCGAGAGTACCTCGGTCTTTTTCGCTCTCCTCTATCTCAATGAAGAGAGATGTTTGTATTTCGTCGGTATCTTTGTCACTATCCATCCCACTGTCTTGATAAGAAATAATGTTGACATCACAGTGACTACAGCCATCTTCGGCACTTTGGTGACCATTTCGTGAGTTAAACAACTCTTCTGCATAGCCTTTTTGATCAAAGATGGAATTTGGGAAATGTTTATCTCCGACATCTAGTGGAGTCGGAGTCCTTTCCTCGGACGATACTCTCGGTATCGATTCAACTCTCCAGTCGTCATGCGCATGCTTTTTCTTGTTTAGCTGCATTTTGTTATTTTCAACAACTAACGACGAAGTGACGGCATTTACCTCTAAAAGCTCACTTTCTTCCGTATCAGCATTTATATCTTTTAGTATCACCTCAGCCAAATCTTTGTTGTCTATGCAGGCCACATAGATCTCTTCCGCACCTTCATTTCCCTGATGTTGATACAGACAGAAGTGCAACATATTCAATTGAAAGCAGTTTTAAGGTGTTAGACATCGTTACAAGTGCCCTGGCGATCGAAATGCCTAAATTCTCAGAACAAAAAGGATAGTGTATTCTCCACTTTGAGTATTCTTGCGAATTTTATTTAACAGCGATTAATGGTTGGATTATTATTTATAGTTGGAAAAACAGTTTTGTGGGCGTTTGATCAGGTTAACTTTTAGTTGCTATCAAGTTCAATTGTACTCAATAAGTGCTACCTCATGATTTCTTCTTGCACGTCGATACAAAAACGCCATAATGCATCCGCCCATGAAGGCAATTATTGCACCAACACACACTCCAAGCGTAGTAAGCAGGGGAACAGAACGTCGTTGTTCCTTTATTGGTGGTGCCGTAGTTGAAGAAGCTTGTCGAAATAAGAAGAACAATTAAAAAAACAGTGAGATAACACTGGATGGACCTATCGAGCGCATTATATGGTGCTGCTGGTCGTTTTGTCTCATAGCGTGAGAAACTGAAACCTGATTATCAGCCAGCTACGATTTGCATAAAGCGAGGAAATACTAAATTTCCACTTTTATTTAATTGCTTAGTTGGTAAAAATGATGTTTTTTTTCAATTTAGATCGAGTAAAATCTCATACTGAGTTCTGCTACATGATTGCCCCACGAGAAAAATGAATGCAAAGCGTTATATCAACATGCAACCTCACCCAACTTTTAATGAACAGGAACGTGAGATTTGGAAGCTATTTCCCCAGCACTGCTCTTCGTGATACATGCGTCCAGTATTCAATTGAACTGTTCTAAAACACTTCCTATAAGTGCCTTTTGAAAGCATTTCTTTCAAATACTTTCATAACCTTCCCAGAAGAAATGGTCGTTTCACAATAAAATTTAATGCCAAGATAAGAAACAGAGCATATGTCTCACCTGGATCCTTTGTGGACAAGAATGCCGGCTTTGATGCTTTTTCTCCCGCACTGTTATTTGTAAAGCAGTAATATTTCCCATCATCTTCCCTCTTTACACCCTTTATTACCAGCTTGCTATGAATTTGCTCGTCGTCGAGGAAAATCTCAGCTACTCTAGTCCAGTTGTTAGATTGTACAGCAAGTGCGTCATCGTTCTTTATCCATGTGATAGACGGCATGGGATGACCTTTGGCGGCGCAGTCAAAGGTTGCGTTGAAACCAGCGTCAACAGTTTGGTTCTTAGGATCCTCAACAATTTCTGGTGCCAGGGAAGCTTACACCGGCAATTTCAGATGACGATGGATATTTTTTTTGAAGAAAGAAAGCAAAATTTTGAGAAGCCATCAGTGAATAAGGAGCAAGTAAAGCAAGGAAGGTGGGTAATTAAGGAAAACGCTAAAGGGATAAAGAGAGCTTCGTCACGATAAAGACATCTTGAAATAGTAAGCCCAGGCCTTATAGAAGTTCTACCATGTCCTATCGATTTTGCTCATGCTTCTGTCTTTCTTCTCTCCATGTTACTTATCCACGAAAAAGTGCACACTTTAGTGTTTTCCACCTAGAGGTTATTAGCACCAACCAATAAAGAGCATTTTGACTTCTCTTAGGTCTGGTAGCTAGTCCATGGAAGATAAATACCAATACGCAGCAATTTTTAGTACGCACAAATCAGTGCGCAAACCGCTTGTTACCACGTTTTCCACTTTACCTCAGTGTTATTTTTAATATGAAATATTTTTAAGAAGCTGATTTCAATGGCGGGGTTGTGAGAAAATGAAAAAGAAATCCCAGTATTGTACGGGTACCATTTGGGAAAATGTTGCTTTATTTTCAGTTTAATCGCTATTGTAAAGAAGACATGCGATTTTTTTCGTAAGGTAAGAGCGAATTAGAGAAATAAACAGATGAAAGTTTTTAGAGCAGGACGTGAGATAACTCGTGGGTTTCGTAAGCAATGTATTACTCATCAAGTGTAATGCTGTTTCGAAGATGAAATTTATTCCTCTTCTAATTATCACTGATTTGCAGAACTTTGACTGTGGCCAGGCAGTATGATTAAAAAATGCTAATTTACTTTATTATGAAATTTCTACATAAATGTGTGCTCACAAACAATACCTTATCATACAATTTAACTCATGCCATCTCTTGCTTTATTGCTTCTCGAGGAGATTACTTTATATGTTTTGCCTACCTTGCAGCTCAATTTCGACAACTTTTTGTGTGCAATATCCCTCATAATCATTCTGAGCCTCACAAGTGTAGTTTCCAAACTGTTCCATAGTCAACCTCTTGAGCATTAATATGCAGTGTAGCTCTTTGACTCTTGGTGTACCCTGCAGGCATTTGGCTCCAACTGGGCTACCCTGAGGATCATACCACTGAATATACTTGGTCCATTTCCTAGGATAAAGCTGGTGGTCATTCCTTGGCCACGCTATGCAAGTCAAGTTAATATCTGCACCTACTCTTAATGTGCGGTTTGGCGGACTTGAGAAGATATCCAATTCAGGTATCACTAGACGGAAAAGTTAAAAAAAATTAATTAAATGCGTAATCCTCGAGGTAACCTAAGTCAATCATAACGATGATTCAATCAATAAATTCATTATAAAAATTTATTTGTGGATCAAGTATGTAACTTAAGATTTGTAAACAAAAATGGAGTTGCTACTAACCAGTTTTACTATTGCATCTGTTGCTCATTTCCTCGGATGAAAGGTTGCTTATAGCACTGGTAACAAGAAACAGCATGAAGAAGTTGCCAGCGTTTCCAAGCCAATGTGTGTTTAGCATTCTGGTCATTGAATGTTCGTCCACTTCCTCATACAAAAGTTACCTAAATGTAAAATCGTCTGTTTGCTATGGCATGATGTAAAACGTCTTTTTTAAAACCAAAGCGGGCAGCAGGTGATGGAAACTTTTCTCTTCATCAACAGATTAATTGTCAAGTTATTACCAAACTTCCATTGGGAAAATGAGCCGAAGTGCAAAATGATAGGCGGTGGAGAGGGTTAAACCTGCTTTTAAGGATGTGGCTTTATCATTATTACTATTATCAGACTTATTATCATTATTTTTACCATCATCATCATAACGATAGCTATCATCATTATTATTATTATTATTATAACTATTATTATCATCATTATTATTGTATGCATTTTGGCATATGAGTCAATTTTAAAGAGGCCCTGATAGCAGTTGCTATTTCTATTAACCGAGCGAAAATAATCCCATTATTTTCTCTTACTGGTCCAAAAAGCTTAAAAGAATAGAAGCGTGAGACCTCATCTCAGAAAGTCGATGTTTTGTGACCAAGAAGATGCAATGAACAAAAAAGACAACCAGATGGCTTATAAGTTGTCTCACGTAAAATGTCATATCTTGTTTCCTACGCAAGCGATGCTCACGAAACCTGACCAGAATGTAAATTGAAGGTCTGAGTAAAGCCTCATGAAAACAGCAGGTGAGAATTTTTCATAAAAGACTGAAGGGAAAAACGTTAAAGAAATGAGAAAACCTCATTCACTTACCTTGTTATATTTTTATGACTGTTGTTGATTTTTTAATTTTATATTTTTAACAAAAGTAATTTACCACGGAATAATTTAAGTGAGTCTTGCAAAAGCTTAAGATGTTCTTCTTTTGAAGAAATGTGAAGTTTCTCACGGATCACTCAAATTGCTGAATCTCCATGAGTTTTGGCACTTAGAGACAGCTTTGGTGAGTTTTCGCGAGCATAAAGTATTTTAAAGTTAAAAAATTAATAAATAGTGAAAGTCGTGACGAGAAAAAGGTCATTCAACCCACCTCAAGTCTTTTGCTTGCCACAGCAGACAAGACGAAATGTGAATGTATTCAACTTTCTTACGTTGGAATAAACATAAAGGAAACAGGTGTTTTTGCCTACATATGTCATGTAGATCTTTTCCGATCCAATAGTATACCTTGAAGCTATATTTCAACCGAGGCCTTGCTAAGAGACCAATTAGGCCTCCATTTATGTCCATTAAACATGTAAGAGTGTGTTAAAATGGTTCTCAATGTTTGGAAGCAGCTGCGATAGACATATCTTCCTAATCGCAACCCAGTTTAAAATTTATGACCCGAAAAAAAAAAAAAAACGTACAAATGATATAGCTTATCGTGCGTCATGAGGCATCTAAACTAGCCAGACTATGAATAATTTTGTGACACCGAATGCGACTTTTCATTTCTATAAGTTCAAAAATTTTTGGATGAAAAATAATTATGATCAAATAAATGGTGCTTTTTCGCATATTTTACAGAGGAGCCAAGCTGTTTTGGCGGGAACTTTGCACATCGATCATTATCCCCCAACAGTTAGTTTTCAATGTTCGGGGTTTCTACTTGGCTGACTTGCTCTTAAAGCAGATAAAATGATAAAGGGTTATGAGGGCTTTTATCCTAACCAAACTTTTCTTTACGTCGGTTTCATTGCCTTACAAAGAAAAACTTCGAATGACTCATTTTTTCGAGGAGTTAACAAGAACGAACACGAATTTCAAAATGGCGGCTTTTTAACGTTTGCCTCATATTTAATCAAGGAATCGATCTCAATAAGCATGGAGTTCAAAGAAACTCTCCATAAAAGAGGTGACAGATTTTCTGTCTTGATAAAGATGATTGAAAATAAACTTCTGGGATTGGTTGCTTCCACGCTAAAAACGCTATAAATCGCCTTCGGCGTAAAGATGATAATTCATCGTAGTGTTGACATCGTGAATATGAAAGCGATCTTAGTACTAATGAACACTACTTAAGCAGTAGTGGAAATAAGGCCTAAAAACCGCACGGGATTTGAACCCAATGCTCTACCAACTGAGCTAACAAGCAAACTGGGAGCTTGTCGTTATTTTGGTTCCGAACAAACCCATGAAGTGATGAATAAATGACTGTTATTCGCCAGCTGAGAGGTCCGTATTGGGAAAAGCTGTGCCCGAGGTCTTGACTACCACCCTCGGTTACAGCCTCGGGTAGTACTCAAGAAAGAGGGCACGTTTTTTTGCAATACGGACCGACGTAGGCTGGTGGATAGCATTTTCATATTTTTCTAAGACTGAACAAAATACTTGCCAAAAGCACCCGAATGATTTAGGCTGTAATAACGGCAAGATCATTTTTAGACTGAACAATTTTTTAGTAAGTAAATGGTAGCAGAAAGAGAGGTAATGCAAATTAAAAAGAGAGGTTTCACTGAAATTTTTTTATTTATGTAACAGATAAAGGTGATTCAGAAGGCTTCCGTACAAACTTTTTTTTTTTTTGTAACAAGTACATGTCACAATCTGACACATGTCAATTAGAGAGCGCGTAAGAAAAAAAAAATCAGACAAACATGATACTACGGTTTGGCAAACAAACTCAAGTTTAATGACTGTCACGACACAATTTTTCTTTCAAATACATTCAATGTTCTTACGGAAATTATTATTCTCTTCCATTGATGATAAGTGTACGAAGAGTACCTTTGCTCAGACAGTAAATGGCAAAGAAAGTTATTGTAGGTAAATTAAACGATAAGTTTTGAAGTTGTGGGAGTTTGCTAGTTTGTTTGCTGCAGTGGCGCGTGTAAATCTGGCCTCTTTTCACAAAAACACCAAAATCAAATGAGAAATTTTAACTAGAACCAAGAGGAATTTAATGCGGCTCTTTTTCCTTGAATTAATTCGGTTTTTGTTGTACAGTTACTGTGCAAATGATCAAATTGAACAGACTTGCGAAGACTTACCGAGAGAGTATTTGTCGTGTTTTTACAACACTGAAAACTTTGCTCGCCGTTCCACAACAAAAAATTGTTTTAGAGAATTTAGATATCAAATGAATGAAAGTTCCATCGATTTATTCAATTGAACACAACGATTTCAATGTGACTGTAAGTTGACCATTGCAAAAATGCATAACCTAACTCGTGCAAAAATGCATAACCTAACTCGTGCGCATGCATCCAGGATATAAGTTCTCATCGCACTGTGCAAGCCCGTAGAGGCTATTGTGACATCGTTACAAACACAAGTATGTCAAAATTTTAACTCTCTGAGTTAGTTTTTGAGAGGGATTAAAGTTAACCGTAAACTTATCTTAGGCCACGTGTCAACTCCTTTAAAGACACATTTGCTACCACAAATTCATTTCGAGAACAAGTTCTTGCTGGCAAACATAGTGATTTGAGAGAAAGAAAAGAGAGGAAATATATGTTATTTGCCGGTAAATAACATATTTATTTTTTTGAAACTTTACGAAATTCTTTCTGAAAGAACCCGAATGATTTAGGACTGTAAATACGGCAAGATCTTCCATAAACTGAACAGTTTATGAGCGAGTAAATGGTAGTTAAAATAGAGGTGATACAAATTCAAGAGAGATGCCTCAGCGAAACATTTTCATTTCCGTAACGATAATTTAAAAGGCTTCCAAACAAACTTTGAAACATTATTTTTACAAGTATCTGTCACAATCTGACACCTGTCAATTAGAGAGCGCGCAAGTAAGCAAAAAAGCGTAAGAACATTTGAAAACAATGGAACTAGTTTGGCAAGGACTGTCACGACATTGCTTTCTTCAAAAACAGTCAATGATCCGACGGGAAGTATTATTTACTCTCATCGACGATTCATTCATGTACGAAGATTTACCTCTGTTCATTAAGTAAACGGCAAGGAAAGTAATTGTGAGTAAATTCAATTTTTTTTTTTTATTTTGAAGTTGTGAGAGTTTGCCCGTTTGTTTGCTGCAATGGCGTGTGTAAATCTGGTCTTTCCTTCACAAAAACTAAATTCGAATGGCACACTCCGACGAGACACAAGGAGATTTAATGCGGCCTTTTCTCAAAAATTCCTTCAGTTTCTGCTGTGCAATTTACGGTACAAATGTTCAAATTGAACGGATTTGGAAAAACTCACCGGGAGCGTATATTTGTTGTAGAACTTAAATTAAAACTTCGCTCGCTCTTTCACTGCGAACAAATTGCTTGAGAAAATTCAGGTATTAAATGAATGAAAGTTCCATCGTTCAGTTTGATTTTAACCAAATACCCCACGTTTTAACTTTCTAGGTACTTTTTGTGAACGATTAAAATTAATTGCAGACAGGTTTTAGGCCTCCTGTCAACCAACGTAATGACACTATTGTTTATACAAATTCATTCTGAAACCAATATTTTTATGTCAACCAAAGTGATTTGAGTGAGAGAAAAGAGAGGATTCATAAGTTATTCATCGGCTTGAGGTAGTGACCGACGTGTTTGCTTAAAAATACTGCCCAGCCGGAAAAACGAGATATATTTATGAAAAATGGGAACTAAAGTTGGGATGTACTCGGCGACTCACGAAAGTGTTACCTTGGCCCGTGGGCAGAGATAGGAAAATACTGACCGGGTAAAGAATCAATTAGATTGCAGGATTCGTTACCGTGCCCTCTCAAAAAAAAAAAATAATAAGTTATTAATCGACTTGATTTACTAATAAAATACTTTGCTTGAACATACTACCCAGGTGGCAAAAAAATGTATATATTTAATAAAAACGGCAACGAAGCTAAGTGTGTTCTAGGCAACTCACGAAAGCGTTACCGTGCTCGTGGGCAGAGGTGGGAAAATCCGGGCGACACTAAGAGCCAATCATACTGCAGGATTAGTTACCGTGCCCTCTGTGAGAAAAATAAATTAAAACCGTATATGTGAACTGGCGATAAAGACGTGAATATCAAAGCGATCTTCGCAGTAATTTCCACTACCTGAGCGGTAGTGTAAATAAGGCCTGAAAAAAATTCATTTAATGTTGACATAGTTATCTATTTTGACACAATGAAAAGTAAGCTGTTCGTAAATTTTTCGCGCGCGTTATAGAAATATCTGAAGGATATGAAACACAATAGCCTTCATTTGGCGAGAAAGAGAGAAATTAGAGAGTCTCAATGGGGTGATGGCTTATACGGCTTGTGGTTCAAAACTTTGGCCAATTCACGGCTATCGGTTAATATCTAGGATTGGATGCTTTAGAGCTGAAAACGTTCTAAATCGACTTCAGGGTAAAGGATATGATTCATTTTAAGACTGATATCATGATTCATTCAATTGCATATGCATCCTGGGCATAGTGGGAAAAAAAAAAGCGTCTGCCTGCTAAGCTGACTGTCTCCCAACTCATGGGATTGACAGACCATAATTCTTTGTTAATTTTTTTTGTTATAAAGACCATGCTAACAACCCTTTAACTAAAGTAACATGAACAAAATAACAGAATTAACTTTTCGGAAAACAATTTTATTTACTTGCCAAGTTAGCTCAAATATATTTGTAAGTTGAAAATTTCTAATCTCAAATTGTAAAAGAGCGCCGAAAAAATTGCTGGATTAGTCTAATATGACCATTTCTTGACAGAGGAGCTGTCAAAGATCTAGAACAAGATGCAATCGCACTTTGATACCAAAGGCTTCCTGTGTCTGTACTTGTCTTGTAATTTCCTGATGTTGTTCTTGGCTGAAGCAGGTTGGAACGTGCATTAAAAAATTTGAAACTTTGTTTCTTTAAGAAATTTTCTGTACAACAAATTAAAGGAAATAATTGCATCAAAGCCAATACCTTTATTTTGCTTTTGAATCTTTTGTTTACTTTCCTCTATTATATTTCTTGTTCCGACAGGTTAAAATGTGTCTTCAATGCTTTGAAGTTTTGCCACTCAATTTCCCTTTTTGAAAGGGACAAAATCTGGCGGAAAGCCTTTTTTAGGTTGTCAGAGAATGTTTCGGAGCATTTTTCCTAATATGAAATTGTTTCATTATGGGGTAAAACTGTAGGGGTAGCGCTGCCTTGAGAGCTAGGC